TTTTTTTTTTAAACTTAACTTGCAGTAGCAGAAATCTAGAATTGTGTGGAAAAGTGAAAGTAAAATAAAATAACCAACAGGTATGCTGGATAGTGCACAGGGCACGGAGTTGAAGTGAAGGAAGAATCAGGAAGAAGATAGTATTTTTTTTTTTCATTTTTAAAACACTAATGCAATTGTTGCAAGAGCAGGGCTCCTGGGGTAATGCCCTTGATCTGGGTAGCCAAAATTCCCACTCTAGCTACATTTTCTTCATTCCCCATGGTTATCCTCAGTAATCATTGGTGCTCATTGATAGGTGAGCATGCCACACACGGTGATGCTATCACTCTAAGGTCCCATTATTCTCGGTGATCTGCTGGACTTCAGCTGAAGTGAATAAAATTTGGGCACTTACTCCAGGCAGCTTCCCATAGGTATTTTATACATTTTAGTATTTCTAATGTTGTTTTTCCATGCACCTTCAAGGCACATGCACTTATGGAGGGTTTTCATGGCAAGACTACTTCAGAGGAGGTTTGCCATTGCCTTCCTCTAAAACAGAGATAATATGACTTGCTCAAGATGGGTTTTCATGGCTGAGCAGGGATTTCAACTCTCAAATGTTGCTGTATCTGATAATGCCAATAGTCATTTGCATTTAAATCAACAGGGGAACAGTAATGTGTATACACCCATGGTTTGCCCCTGGATCATGTATACAAAGCATATAGTACTCATTTGGTTCCTCATATGGGCCTTTACAGACTTCCAGAAATAGTGCAGCTTGAGGCCACTTTAACTGTCCTGGCTCAGTGCTAGGGAATCATGGGAACTGTATTTTTTCTGGGACACTGAGCCTTCTCTGTCAGAGAGTTCTGGTGCCACAATAAACTACAGTTCCCATGATTCCTTTGCACTGAGCCAGGATAGTTAAAGTGGCCTCAAGCTGCATTATTTTGTCAGTCTGTAAAGGCCCATATATTTCCCCAGCATCAGTATGTTGTGTGTCTTCAAGTTGACCCAGACTTATGGTGACCCTATCATGGAGTTTCCCTGGCAACATTTATTTGGAAGATGTTTGCCATTGCTTTCTTCTAAACCTGAGAGAGTGTAACTTACCCAAGGTCACCTAGTGTGTTTCCATGCCTGAGTGAGGATTCAAATCCTGGTCTCTTGGAGTTCTAATCCAGCATTCAAACATATCACACTAACTCCTTCTAATGAGAGGACCAGTACAGGTATCCAAGAAAATGTTATTAGTTATTTGTTCCAATTACACACACACACACACACACACACACACAC